GGATATCTGAAAAAACGATCCAAATCAAATTCGATTAAAGTGTTTGAGAAACCCAAGAATTTGAATTCAAATTTGGATAATATGAATTTTCTTTTAAATCAAATTCGGATATATCTTGATTCAAATTTAATATACAATTTTAAAAACAAGTAAAAAAAAAAAAAAACATTTACATTGTCAAACACCCCTAGAAAGCAATTCAAATGGAGATGGATTATCAATCCCATCCACAGCAGTTTCTCATATCCAACAGATCAGTTTTTGTTTTGATAAGTGCCAACAGATCAGATTTAGCACAGGCCACCACAATCTGAATTAACCCGACCCAGTGACACCTCTAACGTAGCCTGTTGTATAAGTCATTTTAATTTGTAGCAGATCTAAATGAGCTGAGCTTCTGGGTTCAGGCGTGTGTGGTAAGCAACCAATAAATTGGTCAATCGCCCCCTCACTAACTAAATTCTTCGACAACGACATTTATCGAAAGCATCTGTGAATGACAATTTCAGAAGATATTTTCAATGCATGTACATGTGGGGCGCCTGTAGGGGCAGATGTGAACTCTAGGAAAATAGTCTTTTTATTATTTTAATCCTTTATTATGGAAATTGCCAGACCGGATCTTTTACCCATAAGACAGATTGGGAACACCTCCACATGAACAGCAACATATAAATACCGAATATATTCTCAATACACGGCTGTATATTATTTGTGGGTTAGTGTGGGCAGAGCTCCCGTGGATAAGAGATTCGAGCGCTTATTTTGGATACCATGCTTTCTTTAATTCTTTTCTTCTACAATTAGTTTAAGCATGAGGCCTGCTGGAATCAGTGGCAACTTGGCAACGATAAGGGCCTGTGGCCCTTGTTCAGTGATACATATCTGCATAGATGAAGCTAATCCAAGATCATTGAGTCTAAGGAATTCAAGTTCAAAGTAGAAAAGCTAGAAATTCATATATATAACCAAAAAGTAACTCTTCTGAAGCCCCAATTGTTGGATGCTTGATGCCTATAAGTTAAGAGGAATCTTATTCTCTATAATATTCTTTATTCTTGTACATGCACACATGTTCATTCATTTAATTAAAATTATCTCCAAATTTTTTAAATTGGGACATTGTAGAATGTCAACTAACAAAAATGAGATGTTCTCCATGTGTGGCTGCAATGTTATGTGGGTAGATGTGGGCAGAAAATCTTAACTCATCAGTCATATGTATGGTGGGATGTGTGGATATACATCAGTGTTGGAATAGTTTTTTGGTTGGGAGAAAATCCCAACCAAAGTGTTGGTATTGCACCAGRTTCTAGGGGTGAGCAAAAAAAAAACCAAAAAACCGAACCAACTGAAAAAACCGACCGAAACCGAACCRAAAAATCGGTTAATCGAATCGGTTGATTTGGTTTCGATTCGGTGTTTTCAAAAAAACGAAGGTACCAGTTCGGTTTCGGTTAACCAATATGACCGGTATACATATATTTCTATATATTTTATATATATTTATGTATATTATATATATTTTTATATTTTTTATATATTATAAATTAATAAATATACATCATATATATATTATAATATATGATATATTATTTATTATTTAAAATATAATATTTTATATATATTTATAATTTTTATTATAAATTTATATATATTTATAATAAATATTATAAAAACTAAAAAAACCGAAAAGCCAACGAATTGAACCGACGGTTAACCGAACCGGTCAACCAGTTAACCGATAGGTTTCTGTTACCAGTTTTCTAAAAACCAGTACTACCGGTTCGGTTACAAAATGAGCCCCACGGTTTGGTGAGCACCCCTAYCGGATTCAACAATTAAAAGAATCCATTGCCTCAAAGTGTTGGTATTCATTTTTAGGTTAGTATTGTTAAGGATAGAGTGGTACTATGGCTCAAGCACCACATTCATATCTACAATGACCACTAATGTTTTAATAAATGACTTGGAACCGGAACTGTTCTGGCCACTGGTTTTTGGGTCGATGATTCTATTGTTCGGTTTGAATGGATGGCCCATTCTGATAATAAAAATTTAAAAAAAAATAATAAACAACCAAAATCGTTGAATGGATTAAATGGGTTGATGGTTCGACTACTCAGGTCATTAGGTCATTAACCGATTTAATGGTTTTTAGACAGAGACCGAATTTGGAGTAAAACGAAACCGATTGCTTAGACAGTTCCCAAGCCGAACAGTCTGACCGTCTGGGTCAAGGCAGTTCGAAAACCATGATGATCATAATCAGCACTCCAATAAACTCATTAAATAGCAACCTATCTCAACTCAACAACTAAATTCAAATTCATAAATCTTGTAATTTCTGTAAAACACATGTAACAACTAAAAAAGTAATAAATAATCAAACTAAACGGCTGCTCTCCACAAGAGGTGAGAGTCATTCAACAGCTCGCTCGTTCTTTTATATATATATAATGGTCGGATCGGAAAAACTGGGGACTAGTTTCATTTTCACCAAAACTGTTGATTTTGGTCAGTAAATCGCTGAATCGGGCGGTTAATCGTTCAAACGGTTTTGACCATTTTTTATTTTTTTTAATTTTTTTGTCAGAATGGACTGAACATTCGGTTCGAACAATCAGACCATTCGACCCAGTAATCGGACCCCTGACCGATTCAATCACCAAATCGGTTTTAAAAACCATGATATATATATATATATATGAGAGAGAGAAAGAGAGAGATACATCACTCCGAATCTGCTATGCACTAATTATTTCCACATCTATACCCATACTGTATTGGGAATACATCCCTATAAAATGAAAAAAAAAAATATTCTCAATGCACACCTGTCCAATGGGTAGGAATGTGAGAACAACTAATGGGTAGCAGATCTGAGCCCTGTATACATAATGCAGGGAGTTAAGAGAGTATATATCACCCCAATATTATATACTATCCAAATTGTTCAATATTCGAAGTTAGTTATTTTCAGAAAATGTTGAACTTCTTATTAATCCAGGTAAACCTCAGTAAACCGTCTGGATTTTAGTAAATCAACCGGATGGGTCACTAACTCACTACTTCATCATCTGTTGTGAACTGACAACAAGAGGAATCAAATGTATAACCTCTTCTTTACAAAGAATTGTAAATTATCATTAAACTGCAACACCATTCATATTTGTGTAATTTATTATTCCTTTGACATCTTTACCAATTAAACATAAGAATGAACATGAAACAAGCTTTTTATGAGCTATTGGAGTTTGGCTTGTCAAAATTAGCTCAATCCAGATCGGTTTAAATTGAACTTTGAATCAAATTCAAGTCTATTATACAGGTTCATTTGCCAATTTAGTCAAGCTTTAATCGAGTTTATATTATATATTTTTTTTTAATTATATATAATAATAAATAATTTTATATGTATAATTTTTTATTTTTATATGAAACTAGCTTGACTCACTATCGAGCTTGAGCTGAACCAAGTTCAAACATACGAGCTTTTGAGTCAAACCTAATTCGAGCTCATATTATCTCTAGCTCAAACTGAACTTGATCCTACACTCGAACTTAATGTTTTTCTGCTGAGCCAAATTCAAATAATCAGATATTTGGCTTGGCTCAATTTGAATCCACCCCTAAAAAAGACATAATTTACAAGACTTGAATGGTTGAACCCACAACACTTGAATGAAAAAAAAAAAAATGAAATCATACAGAGCACAGATGTTGAAGTGTTAATAATAATATATTATATATTTATATATATGTATGTAAGGGTGTCAATGGACCGGTTTTGGATTGGACCCCATCCAGTCCAAAATCAATTTGGATGGATTGGACGGACCAACAAAACATATTGGATTGGACCAATCCGGTCCAAAATATTTATTCGGTTGGATTGGACCTGGTCTGTCCGTAATAAATTTATATTGGATTGGATTGGATTAAGCCAATATCTGATCCATTGATATAAGATAAGAATATAGGTGTCAATGAACCAGGTTTGGGTTGAAACCAATATAAATCAAAACGAAGTTGAACAGATTGGATGGTCCGGACATTAAATTGGACCGGTCCAAAATAGTCTAAAATATTCATTGGACTGGATTGGACCTGGCCCATTTATAATGGACTCACATTGGACTGGATCAAATTGGACCAAATCCAGTCCAATTGACACCCCTATATGTATGACGTTGTTGGTCATTGGATCAACCAATGGTTAGACCATTGAACCCATGAACCGATAACCTCTCCTATTTGATAAACGATCTAGGCCATGTTTGGAATCAATGCCATTACCTAAGGGGTGTTTTATGAGAAAACAGTGCTTCATTGACTCATAAAACATTTATTTATTTATTTTTATTTGGGACGGTTGATGGTTGCTGCTACATAGGCTTTTTTCAATGCCATATCAGCATATTCTTGTTAGCAACAGTATAAATAAAAAAAGAAAAAAAAAAACACCAAAAAGAATGTTTTCTCAAATCATACATTTCCCGATTTTCAATGTATGATCTCACAAAATATTCTTCAGAAAAATCCATAACCAAACATCAACATTAGGCGTGGTCTAGAAAAATGGATTTCAGGATACTGAGGTGAATTGTGATGCCGTTTCAAAAAAAAACGGCATCGGTTCCAAACACGGGCCTAGTCTTACAACACTGGTTGGGTGGGCTTGTGATTAGTTAAACCTAAGCTTTGGAATGTATGGTTTGTAGGGAATAGTTAAACCTAAGCTTTAACATAAAAAATCAGAATGACATTTTTGACCGTTGACTAATGATTTTTATGAGAATGAAGTCAATCAACAATAAGGCTTTAAAATCATAATTAAATAACAGATCGAACGGCTCAGATGAAAGAATTCATGACCCACAACGTACGACAATGAAGCAGGGTTAAAGAGTATAATCAAAATATAAAGTCCATCTCTTTCACCTTCCCCTTTATTATACACTACGTTTTCCTTTTAACATACAGATAGTGAGATGGGATCCCAACAACAATACGATTAGGGTTGTAGATAGATATATATATACGCTTACTTCACTCTTCCGCGGGAAGGATCCGCACAGGAAAAACACCAAAAGGTCTCCATCCTTCGAGCTATCTAAAAGATCACACAAGCAAAAGAAAAACTAAATCGAAGTTTGAAAAGAAAGATGTGGAGGAACCTTAAACAAGACTCGTCCCACAGTACTATCTCAATAGCTCTGAAAATCTCCTCTCTACTATTCTTCCTCCTCTCATCCTTCACCAACCATGACCGCCTCTTTGTCAAAGCTCACCCTTTCATCTATGGAGGATGCTCTCCAGACAAATACCAGTCCACCTCAACTTTCGAAGCCAATTTCAACTCCTTATTGTCTTCCATTGCCAGTTCCGCATCTCAGTCTGATTACAACAGCTTTGCCGTCGGCAACGACAGCTCCACACCGGCTGACGCAGCAGTTTATGGTCTGTACCAGTGCAGGGGCGACCTCAAGACAAGTGACTGTTCGGGGTGCATCCAAAACGCCGTTAACCAGATTACTTTGGTTTGTCCTTACTCGATAGCAGCCAGTTTGCAGCTAGAAGCCTGCTACGTAAGATACGACAACGTCAACTTCCTGGGGAGGCTCGATATGACGCTCGTGTACAAGAAGTGCAGTCGAGGAACCAGTAATGATGTTGAGTTCTTTAAGCGCAGGGACGACGTTCTTGCTGACTTGCAGACGGCAAATGGTTTCCGAGTTAGTAGCCTGGGGTCAGTGGAGGGTTTTTCTCAGTGCTTGGGGGATTTGAGTTCAGGGGATTGCTCTTCTTGTCTGGCTGAAGCTGTGGGGAAGTTAAAGAATGTATGTGGATCGGCGTCGGCAGCGGATGTTTACTTGGCCCAGTGTTATGCTCGGTACTGGGCATCTGGGTACTACGATTCCTCTTCAGGTTCTGTTCATTTTTTCCGTTTCAGTTTTTGTTTTTAATTTTTTTGGTTTACTCATATGTGTTCTATACAAATTTCCGATCGATTCTACCACACAAGAAAACATTGGAAAAAATGAAAGTAGTAAAGCCATAGGCCATGTAATTAGAATATTTTCACCCACTGAAGAAAACTCACTGAGGTTGTCCATGAGGTTGTGTTTGCTTTGATGGAAAATAAGAAAAACAAGAAGTTGAGGGAAAGTTATTAATCAACAAATTATGTAAAATTGTTCATTTTTCTATTTAACCAAACACGCCCTAAGGGTCAAAAACTTGCTTCCTATTATGAATTTTAGACACTGCTTTACTCAGCTTCATTGTTTTACTTTTTCCTTTTACCACATTTCCATATTTGGTTGTTAGACGCTTGCTTAGTGCACTCAAATTTGGCACCAAAACTATCCCGATTGTCTAATTTTTTTAGAAGTTTCTTGATTCGTATAAGATCAAAAGGAGGAACGTCGCCCACCAACCACCAAAGCAAAAAGAAAAAGATCAAAGGAAGTTACGTCTACGGTCTATCATTTAGGTCCTCGTGAGAGAAAGTGACCCATCTCTAGCTTCATTCAAATATTTATATAAATTATCCTTTCAGACACATAGATATGTCTCTGCAATTTCTTTTACCTTTGAAGATTTGCTTTTTGATTTCTGACTCCACCCGTAAGCTAAAGTATGAGAGATAAAGGCACCATGTATTTGTCAGTGGGAAGCTTGATTAGTACAACAAATACCCATTGCTTTTGCTTTTGTTGGTGTATTCAGATTCCTCCACCGATGACGACGTGGGAAAGACGGTAGCTATAATCGTCGGAGTACTTGCAGGATTCGCTCTGGTCGTCGTCCTTCTTTCCTTTCTGCGCAAAGCAGTCGGTAAATCCTCTCACCACCACCACCATTTTCTTACTACACATCTTCTCCATGCATACTGCATATAATCTCCTTGTACCCAGCTTTCCATATAACGTAGATTTAATTATATTTATCGTGTACACATACTGCAGGCTAAGAGGATAAGGATGAGGCAAAGAGGAGGATCATCTTTTTGGCAAGCTATTAAAGATCGATGATTGTTGAACATTATAATTTTAGTTCAAATCTTCTTTTTGTTTATTCATTCAAGGCAATAATACTCTGGTGCAATAAAAGTTAGGATTGGCTCTCGTCTCTAGCATAAATAAAGCCCCCAACCTCCACTCCACTAAATACCAAAAAAAAAAAAAAAAAAACACTCCACTCCACTGACTTTTTAAAAAGGAGCCTCGAGAAGCTTGAAATTCCCACTTTACAATGGCATTTGCAGCCTGACTTTACTCTTTCTTACATTTCAAAGTTCATTAATACAATGTTATTTTTCATCCAAAGGAGAGAGCGCCATCACAATGATCTAAAGCTTATATATAATCGTATAATGCCATAATTAATCACAGAAATGCACTTTGAAAAGACTCCGACCAGTCCCTTTTCATCCACTAAAAGGTAGTGAGTGCCACACTAACACTTTAATATGCTAATTAGATCATCCATGGCAAATATATATGTACACGGGCCGAGCCGGGCTTTGCCTCTTTATTAATAAAAAATGTTCAGACCCGAGTCTGATCTTGAATCCTGGTCTAAATATAAAAAATCCTGCCTATAGTATAATTTAATAAATTAATATTATAGAGAGGATCAAATCTAGGAACCTAATCAATCAGTAGCTTCCTCAGCATTCTCGAATCGAATCTCAATAGGAAAGTATATATCAAATAAAACAATTCCCAATGAATACATTTGAATAGGAGAACCACTGTTATCATATTTGATATTTCCTTCAATATGGCCATTTACCAACATGGGAATTTTTATAGCGTGGACCATCAGAGGACGTGTTGCTGACCCATTTCTAACACCCTAATAAGAACCTAGAATATAAACTAAACGACTGGAATAACAGCCACATAATTAAACACGCAGTTTATAGTCTTGTAGAAGCAAAAGAAACAACACAGATTTTACTTCTGCACTCTAACTTGTACTAAGAAATCTTTGGCACTTATGCTACATTCAAGCACCATAACCTCGGGTGGAAGGGCTCCACACCGCTGACGGGTCCGCTACAGGCAGCCCTACATGCTGCCTCTATTCCATCCTTTGACATTCAACCGTTGCAGATGTTTGCAAATGCACGCATGTGCCTCATAGAGTCAATGACCCGCAGTGATATTCAAACAACAGACCTGTTCGCCAAGTTCAAATGTTAAAGGTGGGCAATGCTTGAAATTAACCAAAAATACATTACTAAGTTGGGCAACCCACATTGATTCAATCTCAATTTTCAAACATTACTATTGCTTTTAGGCAACCTCAGTCATCTACAAAGGGCAACCCAGATGGCCTCACCGCACACTGAGCATGGAAGCAGCTCTTTCTGCTCCAAATAGAATATTGCCAATCAGTTCCACACTACCATCAATATGGGTCCTATGCGTTTACTGTCTGCTATTTGCTTGAAAACTTCTTTCTTCTTTGGTTCATCCTCTGACTTCTTGTACTGCAGAGAAGCAGAAAATTCATGGATGAGAGAAAACAGTAGGAAAAGATTCTGAGAAAGCCGACTATCAATATTTATGAACCTTTAAATAGTTTTCCATTTCAAATAGTTGCAACATGTGTACATAGATTATCATGAAAAGCAGATCAATACCCAAAGGAATACTTTCTATTGGCAGTGAAACTACTAATAGCAATCAATCAGAAATCCTAGAGGCTAATATCAAGTTTCTGAAAAAAATGATAGTCAAAAGGATTATTCAATTTTGAAGAATCTGAGCATTATATGATAAATTAACGTACGTTCGATGAGGAAGCTATATGCAGAAGTGATCTACAAGAACAAGAAGAAGAGAAAGACTTAATGTGGGATAAAAATATTGCGGATAATGAAGATGAAGACGTAGAACTTGATGTGGAAGATAATGATGATGATGAAGATGTTGATTGTGTTACTAATGATGTTGGTGGATTCAATGGAGGGGTTGTGGTTTCTTATTTCTTAGACACTCAAATTAATTAGATATTTTTCTTTATTGATTGTACACGATTTATCTAAACTTCATATTCTATTATCCTTTTGTGAGAATCGGAGATGATTTCTACTTTTTTAGTTTTTTATTATATGTTCTATAATTTAGGTTCTTAGCAGTTTGATACTTTGATACTTTGATTTGATTACTAAATAGATGAGTTGGTATTGCCATTTTTTGTTATGGTTTTATTCATTGGTTGATTTGGTCCTATTAAACGCCTAAGTATCAAGCTTTCAATCAAGGTATGTGTTTGATTCCCTTGGGGTTAATTTGTTGAAATTTAATTATTATTGGATTGGATTTTTTATTCTTTATGCATTTGTTATAAATTTGTAATGCTTCTTCTATTTGTTTAATCTATTATTGATTTGTTTTTGTTAAAGGCAAAGTTGTGAGAAAAATGATAGCACTCAAGGAGGACAACACTCAACATTCACCTCAAAGGTATGAATTTGTGAACTTAAAATACTTTTAATATTTATTAATTTATTTTTTAACGTAATTGGTTTTGATTCCTATTGAAAATAATATATTTAAATGATGAACATGAATACATGATAATATTTTATGTTTTTATATAAAATTTATACTCATTTGAATGATTCTAGTGTTAATAATTAGTGTACACGATTGTTAGTCAGCATACAAAACCAATAAACTAGCTTAAAGAAGTGTAGGAAAAGTAAAAATTTAATAAAACTAATATTTTCAAATTCCATCTAGGCACCTAGGCACCTGGGCGCCTTGTGGTTGCCTAGCCTCACTTAGGCACCTTGAAAACTATGGCTATAAGGAATCACCCATTATAAGCATAATGTGAACCCTCATCCATGGCTTACAATAGACCTTTCACAGCTAAGTTCTGTAGAATCCTCATCCTTGGATCCAAATGATTCAAGACCATGTTTGAGAACAGAACAAGAGAGGTGTGGATGATCAGAACAATTTGTTGTTAATATTTAATAAGTGATTCTATTGGTTGACAAGGTTTTGTTGGATGAGACAATCAAACAGTGAGCCTGAATTTCTTCCAAATTCTGTTTTAAAGATGGAGGGGAGAGATTGGAAGAGGTTTGAGGTTTGAAACTCTCTGTAACCAGCATTTTGAAACTCTGTAATCTATTTTATAAATTAGAAGGCTTCTAATTCAGATTATCAATTATAAAATGGAATCATACAATGCACATTCGAGCAAATTTCATCTATATTGCCTTAATCCACAACAAGGTCCCAAAATCATTATGTAAGAAAAGAATGTCATTTGTGATGCTTAAATTGAAAATGCAGAAACATATTCATTATGAATAGCTATTTGATACTATATTCTGGACTGCAACATTCTTTTAAGTTTCCGAACTGCAACGGTACTTCCTATAAATCCCCCTAACTAAATTAGGTGCGCACAGAGAAGGTTCTAGCTTTCAACTGTTATATGGTGGAGACCTATAAACGAATGTAGATCTTCCGACAAGATAGGCAACCTAAAAACAAAAACAAAAAAAAAAAAAAAATCAAAATGAGATACCAGATATCAAAATAATAGAGTTACCTCTCAATTTTCAAAGATCAAAGAAGGTAGAGATCACTACAGTTGGAAGAGAAAGATAACAAATTTTACTTTGATTTTTTTTATTTTTGAAGGTAGAGATCACTATGGTTACCTCAATTCTCTCTTAGAGGGCAGAAGAGATGAGTCCGGATCTTATGCTCACAAACCCTGCCCACCTCTAACCACACAGCATCGCAGCCACACATGGAGAACATCTCATCCTCCTAGGGGGAGATATTTTCAATTCACGGTAATATGTTGTGGGTAGACGTGGGCAGAGTCATCATGGGTAGGAGATCCGGAGTCAGAAGAGACACCCCGAGAGTGGATGCAAAACCATGTTCAAAGATAGCAAATTATACTTTTGACTTTTTGAAAGCAAAGCTTCCTCTTATTTGCGATGCAAACCCTGATCTATACACATTTTGGTATAAAAATTTGGTGTATTTTTAAACCCTTACCAAACCGATGAAAAGTTTCCTCCAACCAAACGCAGCCTCATATACAAATATAAACACATGTTAACTTCAGACTGGGTCAGCTTTAACCCTAGCCCAACCCGAAGTTGGGTTGATATTTTTCAACATTAAGCCTAACCCAACTTCAACCTTTTGGGTTGGATTGGGGCTAATCCAGCCCAAGCTGCACCCTTATACAAGGGTACCATCAATTACCAAACAGAGATGATCATGGGCATGGCCGGGCTGGTCGGGGTTTTTACAGTACCAAGGAACGTACCACACCTGATACCACATTTTGTTCCACATGATCGGTGGACAATAGCGAACAGTAGCAGCCACAGGCTCATAGATTCATTTCGATCCATAAGAAAACAAATATAAAAATTCATCAAATTACAGTAATTATAATCTAGACCTAAATACATCCACTACCCATTTGGATTATAATCTCTCCTCTCAGTCAAAGGGTCTACAATTCCTTGGCTGAAAATGTACGAGGGAATCAAATCCAAGAAATTCCCATTCCTGGTCCACTAGCAGGAAAAAAAAAAAAAAACATAAAAAAAGAAGATAAAGCCCCACCCAAGTGTGTGCAAAGAGAGGGTAAGATTTAGATGATATACAGTAACCAAATTTATCTTGACAGATGCAATTGAAAAAGTTGTGTACGTTCATCCAGCCCTGCTCTAGAGCTGCATTCTCATCTCCTTGTGGAAAAGGAATGTTCAAGAACCAACTGAGCTAACCTTTAAACCTACGATATAAATTAACTTCATCATCCGCACTGCAAGCCAAAACAGGAAGCACATGAACAAACAAGAAAATATGAGAGGATATAAATAGGACCTTTTAGGGGGAAATCTCAGAAGGAACGAATGGGAAAGAAGTAAGAATTATTACCCAACTTGTATCAGGTTGGTCCATTTTTCTTGGAGCTTTCAGTATGAACTCACACTGTCCTTGAAATAGCATAAGAAGGGAAAAGCTTGGAGTCCTAGGAGAATATGTCTGAAATCTGAATCAATCTGCTGAAGATTTGGGAAAATATTTTGAAGAATAGCAGAGTAATTTGATGGAGTTGCCTGCAAAACAAGAGCAATCGTACCATTGGTGCAAAGGAACTATCAAAGACCAAATGAGCCTTGATATGTACAGATTGTGCATAAGTGTTAGAACCAGTTCATAATTAAGTATGCTAACTAAGGTCCCAACCCAATAAATAAATGTGCAGAACCATTTCTTAACCAGATCCTATAGGGTCTATAATTGGGGCTATCAGGTCTGACCTGATAAGACCTTATTATAATTGACAACAATATTTTTAACCTGTAATTTGACAATAAACCTTCTTATTTGTTAAATTGAGACATATAGACATCATAATATGATAACATTAGAAGTATATCATCAGAAAATAAGTTTTTCCCTTCCACGCACTGTTCTATAAATATAAGTAATATACCGATTCTGAAGAACCTACTAAGAAATGAAATGTTTAACAGTGGCTGGTAGGAATGTATCTCATATCTGATGATTGTCCAACTAATTTAAGCCCCCAACGAGATAGAACTGAAGAAAGCTATAAATAGAAAGTATTTGAAGTAGGATATGCTGTGGCAGTGTTAAGTGAGAAGAATAAAGTAGACCTGGGAAGCTACTCCAATAAGTTTGGTTCCTTTTCCTGGTTGAGCTATCCATACAGAAAGTAAATTGAGAATGATGTGGCCAATTGAAGCAGATTTGGCCAACAAGAGAGAACCTGGGCTTCTAATTGTGCAACATAACCTATATACACTAATCAAATTCAAGCAAAACATAATGAGATTATATCACGATTACATGCCCCTTTTGTTGTGAGATATTTAACTATCAACAAGCATCATGTTCATAGAATGGCTGATATTGAGACTCTCAAGATGGATGGAGCAACCATAGGTGATATAATAAGGAAAGATGATTCTGATGGTTTTGACATATATAATAATCAAAAAAAGACATATAGTGATAAAAAATAAAAAACTAGAACACCAGTGGAAGGTGGCCCCAAGAGTAGGGTCACTGGTGCTACATCAGATTCAATACAGGTTTAGAAACTTGAATGAACAGGAAATGGCCCTAGATAAGTTGCACCCACAAAATTTCTATTACCAACTCTAAAATTTCTATTCCAGAAAATTTCACATTCATGGTATATTGCACTTAGGAATAAAACTTCATAAACATATCAGAAATCAGAATCAGATAAATTAATAGCTAAATCAATAAAAAAATGAAAATAAATTGCTAGTTACTGGCAGAGAGAGCAAAATAAGCCCAATACTTGATACTAGACCTAGCACAACTCAACCAGGTTCAGTTGTAGTCAAATAAGTTAGATTTTGGCTGAGAWCAGGTTGAAAAACTCAGGTTGATCCTTGTGGGAGGTGAGGTTGCAGTTCCCAGTTCCTAGGTTTGGCCCCAGGTTGGCCCACAACCTGACCTGCCTTAGTTGTGCTTCTACATTGAAGTGGCTTTTGCAAGAAGTACACGAAGAATGACCAAAATTGGCAGATTTGCCACCAGGAATAGGGAAAAAGGCAAAAGAAAACTTCAATATGCTAGAAAAACAGACATAACCAAGAGAATGTATAACCTTTCAATAGAAATAGCAATAGACCAATAGTAAATTGGAAATAACATATATGAGCAATTGGTATTAAGTGAAGAACAATTAGAGCCTTGTTGAACTTAGGAACCATACAAATGGATTGTGCTCAAGATAAATGGTTGTGAGCTTTTGCCTTGAACCTGTGACAGCTACATCAGTGCCTCCAAGTTATGCTATTTGGTTGTCACTGAGCCACAGATCCTCCAGCCTGCAAAGTAAATCCTTGATATTACTAAAAACAAGAAGGACCTAACCTGATCCATGTAAGACATCCATGCATAGCATACCTTGTCAGGTGTTCAATGTCATCTGGTTGTTAACACGTTTGAAAAAACATCCAGAACACGCAGGTTAACCAAGGTGGATAGCCCTTCCATCTTTGAAATACCATTATGGCTCAAGTATAGCTCTTCTAAAGAAACACAATCCTAGCAATAGTGAAGAAAATTGAAGAAATGAAAAAATGAATGCATGTAGATTTGTTATACAAAGTCACAAACTAATTTATTTGCTTGGCCTTTCTATCTAAATGTTTCCATCAAACAAACTAAGTTCAACAGTGGCACACCTGAAATCCCAACATGGATATCAAGCGGTGATCTGCAAGCTAATCTTCTTGATGCATCTTAGTCCACACAGGTTTACCATTTGGATGTGATTGCGTCCAAGCCACAGCTCTTGTAAAATGTGTTAAGTTTTGCAAACTCTCCATTACCTGGAGTATAAAAGTGAACATTTAACCATTTCTCCATCCTGATATTAGTTTTGCAGCAGTAACATTTTTTCAAGCAAAGGTACTCCAGGTTCAGGAGTGTCCTTGTAGGGGTGAGCATTATTTGGCTAAAACTGAAAAACTGAACCAAAATTTTCAGTTTCAGTTTTTTGGTTCAGGTTTTCAGGTTTTGTATAATTTGGTTCGGTTGGTTTGTTTTTGAATATTTTGTTTTAGGTTTTGGTTTTGGTTTCAGTTTTTAGAATTAGAAATTTGATTAACTGAAAAAACAAGTTAACCAAACTTTGCTATAGAACATGTAATATATAACATATAATATATAATATATAATATATAATATATAACATATAATATACATTATTTAATATATTTATAAATAAATATATCATATAATGAAATTTGATTTCATAACATATATTATAATATATAATATAGTATATATACTATTGAAATTCGGTTTTAACTGAAAACCAAACCAAAAATTTTGGTTTCAGTTATTTCAGTATATAATATACATTATTTAATATATTTATAAATAAATATATCATATAATGAAATTTGATTTCATAACATATATTATAATATAGTATATAGTATATATATACTATTGAAATTCAGTTTTAACTGAAAACCAAACCAGAAATTTTGGTTTCAGTTATTTCAGTTTTTCTATAATTCAGTTTCGGTTCRATTTTTTATTTTTTAAGTTTGGTTTTTTAAATTTCGGTTTAGTCTGTTCAGTTTTTAACCGAATAAACCAAATGCTCACCCCTATGTCCTTAAGTCATTAAAGAATGCCCATGATGATCAGCATCTATTACACAGTTCCTAAGAGCAACTGGTTCAGAAAATCATATCAGAACAACACCCATCATGAATGCCAATCAAAAAGATCAATAACCAATGCCTGGAAGAGGCTTCAATTTTTATAGCAAAATATATTGCTAGACAACATGTTACATGAAAAGAAACCTTTTACTTCAAGAGTCCTAGTCCACAGGATTCATGTATAAGAAAGGAGAAACAAATTTGGACTCTTATCACATGCACAAAAGTTCAATGATAACCAGATAAAAATCTCTCCTAACGTCCTTTCTCAAATCCAATGCGGGTTCTACCAGAACCTCTGTCATAGCCATCACGCATTGAAGATCCGGCACTTGCACTCATGGTCCCTCCGCTCCCAACTTTTTCCATGGCCTTCTTACCCTTCTTGACCTCTGTCAAGAACTGTTCCAATCCAAATGGATCAGCCTCTTCTGCCTGCTTCTCAAACTCCACTGCACCACTTCTCGGAGCTGCACTCTCTGGGGCACCAGTAAATGCCCTATCAGGCTTGAAGCGATCAGTCTTCATGATCTTTTCAAGTTGCTCATCTGCACCTCCATACATATCAGCATCCGCATCCTTCTTGGGCCTGTACAAGCTAGACAGGGTAGACTGTGCAGTAAACAGGCCCTTATCATATATGTTGTACTGATCATCAGTTGCGAATCCAGAGTCCATTCCTTTCTCCTGGTTGAACAGCCTCTGGTCATACATGACTTCCCCACGACCTGCCCCTGTACTAGCCATACCAAGTGCCACTTTTTCACTAATATCACGGTCTCTATCACGTGTGATCTTACTCTTCTTACCCATTGCAGCATCCTTGGCCTCCAATCTTCTCTCTCGCTCCCTCTCCCGGCGTCGCTCCTCACGAATCTTTTCTCGCTGCAGACGCTCCTCCCTCTCTTCTTTTGTCTCCTTCACAGGGTCCTCTTTTTCCCTCACTCTTTCATGATCCCCTCTCACATCACCACTATCCATCATTGTTCTATCAGTAAGGATGGGAACAGCTGCAGGGGGTGGTGCACCCCCAGTCCTCTCAGCTCGAGCTTTCTGAGCCAATGCTCGCAGCTCCTGCTCCTTTCTTTCCTTCTCCTTCAACAGCATCTCCTTTTGGACCTTTGATCTCATTGCAACAGCTTCTCTAGCTTTCTGTTCTGCTACATATAGTGCCTCAGAAAGTTTGGCGAAGTTGTCATTAATCTGGACTTCTTGAAGACCTCGTCCATCTGCTGCAAGACGTTTATCAAGTGGGATTGTATAACCTTTGGGGTTCTTCCAATTAGAAATGCAAGGTGGTATTTTCCAATCCTGTTGATCCTTCACCGTCACCGGACGAGGTGGGGAATGCATAACTGGCACAGGTGGGGACCCCGAGGCTTTTGGGACTCTCTTGTGCTTGAACTTTGGCGGCTCAAGTGGATCAACTGGCATCTCTACCATTCTAATTATTCTCTCTTTTGCACCTGAATTGAAAGCTGCTGCCTGCTGTGATGGTTTATACTTAATGAACTTTGAGTCAGATGACTGTGTTGGCACATTCTTCGGTTGTGCCGCACTCAATCGGACATTGACAATTTTTTCAAGAGCTGCCTTTGTGCGCTCTGTTGTTTCATCTATCTCTTTCTCCAACTCCTCAGATTCTTTAACTTCTTCTGTCAGAATTTTGGGGATGAGATCTTTATGCTGCGAGTATACAATTTTTGAAGCATTCTCGTTCTGCTTGACAATTGCATCGAAGGCAATGTCGCCATGGGAGTCCACACTCAGTGGGAGGATTTTTGAGCCTGGCTTCTGATCTTTCCTGCCCATGCCAAGAGGGTACTGGGCGACATGAATCTCAGGAAAAGCACCGCCATCTCCAAAATCCTCGGGCTTTCGGGGAACAAAACCAGCACGTTTCAAGTATGGAGGTACCGGATTGGCTTTGGCAGTGGTGGTAGAGTGTTCTGCCTCAGAACTAAAACGTTGCTTGAACCATGGGTCATTTGAATGGTCGTAATACGAAGTGGTCGACGATTTAGCAGGTGGAAGCAGGTCTTTTAGMGCAGCCATGGCGAAACCACCAAGGGGAGTACAAAGCACCGGTTTTCTCAAGCCAACAACTGATACAATAAAAATACAAAAAAAAAAAAGAAGAGAAAGAAAAGCAATTAATTTACCGGTGGAGAATATCAAACAACGTGCATAGATAAGTTTATGCTCTATTTCGAGATCAGATATTGAGTCATGAAATCTTCAAAACAGGAGAAGGTGCATTAAACGACGAAACCCTAACCCTATAACCTAGAATGATCTAACCCCAGATCGAGATTTTTCATTAGATAGAAAAAAAAAATCACACAGACAGAAGAACAATTCACGTACCAGATGAAAATGAAGAATAATTCAAATCTACCGACTTTCCTTCTTCCTTCTATCGAATATCGTTGCAAAATATAAAAGAGACAGGCGGCGTCGCGGCGAGGGGAGAGGGAAACGCGTTGAACTCCATCCCCCTCCCCCTCCGTATCTTTATCCAAATTCGGGGATCGGGCTAGCCGCTAGGGCTGTCAACGGATCGGGTCTGGGTCTTTTACAGGTAGAAATAGACCCGAACCGGTCTAGAACCATCCCGGTTAATAATCGGGTCTATCCGGTCTGATCCGATAATACTGAAAATTATATTTTTATTCAAATAACTTAAAATTTAAATTTTGATAATATAATCTTAATAAAATTGATAGAAAAATACTAAATTATTTATTTATATGTTAATAAACTAAACATTTTTAGATAGTACTATCTTATATATTATCTTTCAAATTTATCATTTCGAACATAAAATATGATAAAAATTATAAAAAATTAATAAAATATTATATATTCAATAAAATTTTTGAGTCTGTATTAGCAAAACTGAAACCAACCCAATTATTAATCAGGATAGAATTATAGAATTAGAACCATTATAATCAGTTCGGTCCGTTCAGGTCCATCGGGCCTACCTGATCCATTGATAGCCTCAGTTTCATCCCACCCGTGCATATATACGGTACCACTTTTACCGTTGGATTGGAAGCTTCTTTTTGCTTACGACTAATTGAGACACAAATCTCTTGACTCTTGTTTTTACTTCCTACAAAAAGATTCCAATCTAGTAGCTATCATATGTCTAATGAACACTCACACGTTCGAAGGTACATTACTAATAGATACAACAACGAAACGTGTCTGGATCTGCTACCAACAGCATCCCAATACGCTACAAAAGCGCTATGTTTTCCGGTTTGGATCCTGCAATCCTTATTCTTGTCGCCTGAAAATCAAAAGTCTTTACAACCCGGATCACCACCTGTTCACGAGAACTCTGCCCACGTCTACTCACAATACACTACTCCCATGAATTGGGAGCATCTCTCCGTGCATAATATCATGTAGGAGAATGAGATGTTCTCTATGTGTGGCTAAAATGTTATGTGGGTAGACGTGGATAGAGTTTGTGTGGGCAGGAAATCCGAACTCCCTCAAGACCTCCTTCATGGATGGTCACCCACTTGGTCGTAAACCTTGGGGAGCCCCATGATTTTATCTTGGAGAGTTCCCACCTCTAACTTTGATTCATTGCAAGAGGTATTCTAGTTTTCGATCATTGCCATCCCCACATAATTGTTCACTGTGGTGATTTGCTCCTGAGCGCTACTCATGTGTCAAGAATAGCCACATATTCTTTGAATGCATGGGATAAGGATTGCTTTCTCTTTCATAGGGAAGGTTTCCATAACACCACCCAAGACTTTTTCCCGGTCTCCAACTTTCTTGGCCACCCTCAATACCTTCCTTTTTTGCCATTCCTCTAGTTTACCATCCTCCGTCAGTTTCAAATAAAGTGAAGTTCCATACAAGCCTTTAACAAACCTTGGTTTATAGATAGAATAACACAAGAATGGAAAAAGTGTGTTTTATATTAGATATAAGAGTCCATATATATATAGTTGTGGTGTCGATTTGATAAAGATTACAAAGAGATAAAGAATAAACAGTTTACAACAAAAAGATAATGGCTATCATTAGCTATTGAACAGAGTGATAAGGATTATCTTCATCTATTATCGAGCTATATAGTTGGCGTGGCTTCCCTAACATCCTTTGCAAGTTGACGGGTCGTTTGGACACAGTAAGCTTGAGCTTCAGGTCATGAAAGCATCCGAAGGGAAGCGGTTTGGTCAAAATGTCTGCCACTTGATCCTTGCTAGGGAGGAAGTGAAACGAAGAGTGAACCATCAATCACCTTCTCGCGAATAAAGTGAATGTCCAAATCTATGTGCTTAATGCGAGAGTGAAGTACTGGATTTGAAGCAAGATATTTGGCACTTAGGTT